AAAAATGTTTTAAAAGAAGTCTCATCTGCTCATGCATTTATTTGATCAAAATGCAGTAAAAACAGTAATTTGTTAAGTAATATAACAGTTTAAAACTGTTTTCTATGTGAATATATTTAAAATTTTTAATTTATTCCTGTGATGCAAAGCTGAATTTTCAGGAACCATTTCTCAAGGCTTCAGTGTCACATGATCCTTCAGAAATCATTCTAATATGTTGATTTGCTGCTCAAGAAATAATTGTTTTTGTTATCAGTGTTAAAAACAGTTGCACTGCTTCATATTTTAGTGGAAACTGTGATATATTTGCTCAGGATTCTTTGATGAATAGAAAGTATACTTTTTTTAAAAAAGTAGATTAAAAACAACAACTTCTTTACAGTGTTTTTATTAATAAAAAAAATGAATTTCTTAAAAAATTTAAAAAACACTGACCCCAAACGTTTGAACCGTAACATAGTTTTCTCTTTGTTGATTGAATGTAATACTACATGACCTAACATGCCAGGCAACTTCAATGACATTGCATTCACATATTATAAAATGAATGATGCAATGCTATGTAAACGAGAGCAGATGCCTGCAACAGAGCACAGCTTTATGGATGCAGGGAGGAGAAAATAAGGTAGTCTATCAAGACTTGGAATCGATCCCGCTCAACCACTGTTAGGGGTACCAGACTGCATCAGTCTTGTGAACAGAATGACTGAGGCGGTGCATAACAAGATGAAAACACTGGAAGTGATGGGAGAAACAGTTGACTGTAATGCTCATATCATTGTCCACAGATCTGAAGAATAGAGCACACAGGAAACTCGTGCTAATGAGCAAACAGGAATGTCGGATCCAGCATGCACTCATCCCCACAGGTTGTCAGGGAGACATTTATCTGGGGATCGGAAGAGAGAGAGACGTAAACAAATGAAGCTACAAGGTATCCGGTAGCTTCATTTGAGAGAGGGAGGAGACTTTCATTTCTGAACTTAGCAAAAGTACAAGAAAAAGTGCACTGTCAGTCTCAAGACCATCTAGAAACACAGAGCTCATCTCATTAGATATGCACTCTATTTGAAACTATCACCATTAGTGGAGAATTAGAGCATTACCCCTGGGCTGGCATCATTTGCAGAAAGTAAACAGTCTTTTCTTTCATTGTCAGAATGTGGTGGTGGGGTTTACTTTGTTTGAGGGGATCTAGTGTTGTTAATCTTCATGCAAACAGTGCAGCACAGCAGGCAGAGAGCTAGACTAAGAAACATCCATAGAATTCAGCTAATTAATCCAAGCTAACCTAAGGCAAAACAACAACAAAAAACACTGGCTTACAAATGCATCAGTGAGAAAAGCAGACTTTTGCTTTGAGCTGAAAATTGAACATTTCATTTAGACTGCCACTGTAAAGGGTTAAACTTTGTGCTGAGAGACCTCTAAATGAAGGTGACTGCATGATTGTGTTTGGTTCATCTCATCAAAATGATATACTTTAACATGTTAAAATACTATTTAGGTGAGTTAGCATTTGTATTCTTCTTTATCTACGCATGTTATCTAAATATATTCCTTATCAAAAGTTATGACACCTTTGACCTTTAGGTTCTTCCTTTTTCTGCAGAGCTGTAGCCTGTATGTTTGACAGGGTTGTTTGCCATTCAGAATTGATTTGAGAACGTCAATTTCAAGTTTCTGAATATAAATTACATTTGACTTGAGGTAGCAAATATGATTCAGGATATTTATTCACATTTTAATATGAGGGGATACATTGAATTTATTTGGCAAATTCCATCTCTTGGTCTGAAAGCAAGCCAGTGGCGTCATTATATATCAGTGCAAAAACACTTGGAATGACCTCCTTCACCATGTGTGCCATTTCTGATGATTTTGTGCCAAATTTTGACTATGCAGAAACTAAACTGGGTTGTACACAGATATAAATATGAAACATTTAGAACAGTGTTTCTCATCCCTGGTCCTGGGCGCCCCCCAACACTGCACATTTTGTATGTCTCCCTTATCTGACACCCATTTCAGGTCCTGGAGTTTCTTCTAATGAGCTAATGAGTTGAATCAGGTGTGTTTGATT